GCAAATTGGAAGTGGTCAAACAGGAGATGGCAAGAGTGAATGTCGACATTCTAGGAATCAGCGAACTAAAATGGACTGGAATGGGTGAATTTAACTCAGATGACCATTATATCTACTACTGTGGGCAGGAATCCCTTAGAAGAAATGGAGAAGCCATCATGGTCAACAAGAGAGTCCAAAATGCAGTACTTGGATGCAATCTCAAAAATGACAGAATGATCTCTATTCATTTCCAAGGCAAACCATTCGATATCATGGTAATCCAAGCCTATGCCCCAACCAGTAACACTGAAGAAGCTGAAGTTGAATGGTTCTATGAAGACCTACAAGACCTTTTAGAACTAACACCCAAAAAAGATGTCCTTTTCATTCTAGGGGACTGGAATGCCAAAGTAGGAAGTCAAGAAACACCTGGAGTAACAGGCAAATTTGGCCTTGGAGTATGGAATGAAGCAGGGCAAAGGCTAATAGAGTTTTGCCAATAGAACACACTGGTCATAGCAAACACCCTCTTCCAACAGCACAAGAGAAGACTCTACACATGGACATCACCAGATGGTCAACACCGAAATCAGACTGATTATTTTCTTTGCAGCCAAAGAGGCAGCGTTAGTTGAGGGTCTGGTTTAGAACCCTGACTCCTGGGTAATTTGGGGCAAGGTAATTAATAATGCTTCAGGCTTTTTTTTTTTTACCTTGTAAGATGGGGGATAATAATAGGACTTCCATTGGCCCTGTGGTTTCTTTGTGCCAATGAGAAAAACTGTGCCCAACCTGTACAACTGCACATGGTATCCTCGATAAATGTACCTAGTTAATATGGTTTTTAGGATTAAAGAATAGTATGTGTTAAGTGCTCAAGTAGTGCTTGTCATGGAGTCAATATTCAATTAGTATTACTTACTATGTAATACTAGTTCGATATCTTAAGAGTTGGTGTTTGGTGCTATATATTTTGGGATGTGCTAGATTAAATGCATTAAGTGAGGTGGTTTCAGGTGATTGTCCTTGTTTGAAACTGGATATTGTTCTGTTATAATTTGCAGTAGTGGCCTCACAATTTATCAAACATCTTATAACATTTGATTATTATCACTCTCATCTATCAAGAACTTTAAACATATCTCTAAATTTTGACCCAGTAGTTCCACTCCTGGGTTATGTCCTTAAGAGATGTACAAAGAAATCTGCAGATGTGTTTGAAAATTTAACCACCAACATACTGCCTGACATCATTATGTAAAACTACATATTGTGATAAGTGGTTGTTTCTGGGGTAGTGAATTTTCTTTGCTGTATTTTCTTATTTTAAAAGTTGAAAAATTAATTTTCATAGCCAGGAAAAATCTTTAAACATTTCTCACAAGCTATTTGAGGCAAATATACATGTTTTTCTGTCTCATGTACATTCTTTCCTTTCCTCACACCTGCCAGGTGCTCTCAGGGTCAGAATGGGGCAACATGCTGCTTTGGGAAGGAGGCCACATCAAAGTGGAGTTGAGTCGAGCTGCAGGCAAGCCTTGTCACCAGGGTCCCATTAACCAGATAATGCTGGACGAGGGTGAAGTCATCACCATTGGGTCAGATGGATGTGTTAGGGTAAGTTTTCTTTAAACTTGAACAGTAGCACCTGCATCAAAGTCTTGTAGGTGATCTTATGGGTTTTATCAGATTTTTATTTCTCACAAAGATCACTTGAAGAAGATCAGTGGTCATTTACTCCCAGGGCCAACTCATTTTAAATAATGCTTCTCTTGTGGTAGATTTATAGTCGCTAATTCATGTCTGACTCTTCGTCACCACCTTGGACTGTAGCATGCCAGGCTCCTCTGTCCTCCACTATTGCCTGGAGTTTGCTCAAACTCATGTCCATTGAGTAGGTGATGCTGTCTAACCACCTCATCCTCTGCCACCCTCTTCTCCCTTGGCCTTCAGTCTTTTCCCACTATCAGGGTCTTTTCTAATGAGTCGGCTCTTCTCATCAGGTTAAGTGTTATAGCTTCAGCATCAGTCCTTCCAGTGAATATTCAGGGTTGATTTTCTTTAGTACTGACTGGTTTGATCTCCTTGCAATCCAAGGGACTCTAAAGAGTCTTCTCCAGGACCACAGTTCGAAAGCATCAACTCTTTGGTGCTCAGCCTTCTTTATGTCTTTGTAAATTCTAGTTAACATTCATTAATATCTTGCCACTGAAATTTTCTGAGGGGACCTTTTGTTATTTTGATTCTGTTGTTGAAATAGTAGCTTCGGAAAATGAATTAGCACAATATTAACAGTGGACTCCAATGTCCTTCCAAAGTGCCTATTATAAATTGGTCATTTTCTAGGGACAACAAGGCCAAACATTTATTTATTTATTTATTTTTACTGATTTTACCAATTAGAAATACACAGGTGAGCTGATGGGGTTTTCCAATGGATGCTCCCCTCCCGTTACCCCCATACTAATGAACTTGCTTGTCCTCACCTGTGGACACCATCCTGCCCACAGGACTAATTTGGGACACTGCTTCTGCATCTTGGTCTTTCTGGCTGTTGTCACACCTCTTCTCCCACCCCCCATGTGTAGTTACCCTGCTGTTGCTGGCCAACCTGCAGTCTTCTGGTTTACTTTGTGGTCCCCTCAGTATGTTTCTTCTGGGGCCTTTCATAAGAAAATATTCTTAAGGTAGTATTCTCGGGACATTCTTTAGGAAGTGGTATTATCAGAAGTAAGACCATTTTTTCCCCCCAACCATCTGGTTACTCTGACACTTACTGAGCTTACTTACTGAGCTTACTGGCTCAGACAATATATTAAAGCCATGTCTTCCAGTTTGTCCTCTTACCATTGGCTCTTTGAACCCTGTTAAGTTTAATTTTGTTCTGTTGTATTCATTTCTCTGAGAATCTTTTATGTCCTTTATTATGTTATACAATACATTCACTATCCTTCCAAAGCATATGTCACCCCCAAATACATCAAAATACCAAGGGGAGGAAAACTTCAAGAGAAGTTGGATACTTCACAGAGAATTCCTTCATGGCCATCACTAATGTCTAAGCTTGCTTCCCCTTTGCAAAGCCCATCCTCATCTCTTCAGTGTTTTATATTGTAAATGTCTACCTCTAGCCCTTTAGGAAAAACCCACTCCAACTCCCAGGAGTTAGTCTGACCCTAGGACCTGGGACTCTCCTCCACGAGAGTACTCAATGGGACAACACCGGTCCTTCCCAAGTCTGAGTTGCTGAGTCTAGGATGATGTAGCAGGATGTGTCTGCAGAACCATCCAGCCTGGGCTTTGGCATCTCCCAGAGGACGTCCCTCTGAGTTTCTCTACCACATTAAAAACTGCTCCCTCCTTCTTCCCCAGTGCTCTTCTGGTCTCCTATCTTAAGAACAACAGTCATTACCTGAATAGTACAGTCTAAATACAAGATAAGGAAGAGAAACATTATCTCATGAAGATATTACCTACATCTTTTTTTTTCCCCCTGCTTAATGAAGATTGTGCTTGAATCATTCAGCAAGAAGGTCTGTGTCTCCTTTCTAGGGTCCCACGGGTCTAATATAATACAAGTCTTGTCATAATGTTTCAGTGAATGACTGAACCATTTATTCCTTACAGTCACTTTATATGCAGAAAGACCTGATAGAAACTTTGAAATAAAGTTTACTTTGGGCAAATTAGAATTCTTATTCAGGATGGACTTTTTCTCACTAATCTCCATAAATAAAAGGAAATTATGATAATTCATTATTTCTCAGAGTAAAATCTCAGAGGTTAGGTTTTGTCTAGTGTTTTAATTATATCTACTCATCATTAATTTTCATGAAATAAGAAATGACTTGAAAAAATTGGGGTCTTTCCTGGCGTAGAAAATATATATCCATTCTGATTTAGAAAATATATATTCGGAAACTGCTGATACATTATGGTATTTTCTTATTTTTTAAGATATGGGATTTTGAGACTATAGACACTGCTGATGTTATAGATGAGACTGGATTACTAGAGATAGAGCCCATTAATGAACTTCAAGTAGATAAGAACGTCAAACTCTTCTTTATGATAAAAATGAATGAAGTTGGAAATAACTTTTGGTTGGCTCAGGTAAGATACACCATTTTCTCTTTGCTCTTTAAAGTTATCTGGATATAAAATTAACATAGTATTATACTTCACTGTCACTGTAAGTCCACAGAACTATCGAGACTGCTATTGATAGTATAATGAAGAGTTCCCTGAATTCTGATATTTAGAAGTGAAGTGAAGTGAAAGTCACTCAGTTATGTCCAACTCTTTGCAACCCCATGGCCTATACAGTCCATGGAATCCTCCAGGCCAGAATACTGGAATGGATAGCCTTTCCCTTCTCCAGGGAATCTTCCCAACCAAGGTATTGAACCCAGGTCTCCCACATTGCAGGTGCATTCTTTACCAGCTGAGCCACAAGCGAAGCCCAGCAATACTGGAGTGGGTAGCCTATCCCTTCTCCAGTGGATCTTCCCAAGCCAGGAATAGAACTAGGGTCTCCTGCACTGCAGTTGGATTCTTTACTAACTGAGCTATCAGGGAAGCCTAATATTTAATTGACCTATATTTTATACATAGAAAACCAATTAGCATTTTTACTATGTTAAACTGACTACAAGGTTTATGAGATTGCTATATTATGTGGTTGCTATTATTAAATTTCAATCACACTTTAAAATATATGTAAGTGTTGGTATTGTTGGTCCTTTAAATCATAAAAAGAAAATCCTTTAATTTGATAAAATTTCAAAATGATGAACAATATATTATTATTTAATTTTTTAGGATTCCAATGGAGCCATATGGAAGCTTGACCTTAGCTTTTCAAACATTGTAAGTTGCCTGTTTTTCTCATTTGTTTCAAACTCTCATAGTAAAATGTTCATTATTCTTTTTTAAAAGATACTTTATCTTTCTCCATATTTGATCATTGTTCCCATCAAAAACTTGCTCAACATATCCAAAGAATTTATGTTGTGTCTGTCTTTCTCTCATTATGATTTTACATACAAAATTTTATATGAAAAAGATTCTATCTCATAAAAAACTTTACAAGAAAAGTGGCAAGAAATGGCCTAACATTTTATAGTGCTTTATAGTTTTCATAAACATTTAACATTTTAATGTATATTATCTCAAATAATCCTCTCAACTGTTGAATTTTGTAGGGAGGCAGTTGCCATCATCTCATTTTACTGATGTAGAAATAGAAACTGGCATTTGAAGTTACTTGCATCAAATCACACAGCTATCAAGTGCAAAGCCAGTATTCTCTTTCTCCTAATTCTGAACTTCAGCATTCTTGCTATCTTATAATGCCTTTTCTTATTTCTATTCAGATGAAGTCATACATGATATAGAATTCTATTTGTATTTCTTTAAACTTGGCTTTAATTCTATGTTAACCTGTCTTTGAGCTCTAATAGAATCTCTCTGTTATCAGACCCAAGATCCAGAATGCCTGTTCTCCTTCCATTCTGGAGCCATTGAAGCTTTGGCCGTCTCTCCTGTCACTTATCTCATGGCCACTACTGGCTTGGACTGTAAGTAAGAACTCATATCTGGCCTTTTGTGTTTTATTTTCAATACATTTTAAAATGTGTTTGATTAAGGCATTTGAGAATTTTCCCAGAAGGGAAGCCTCCTGATAATAATGAGGTAAGTTTTTGCAGAGGGGAAGGGCCTAGAATATAGTAGCCTTGGTTATTGTGAGACATAAAAGATATATCAATAAATTACTCATGAAAACACCATTCATCTTGGTATTCTCCACAGTAGTGCTTTTCCTTTTCCTTTCATGTCCTTTCTTTCTTCTTGACTTACAGTAAATCTATGTGGACTGTGAAAGGTAAAACTGACTCACTAGTCAATCAGCAGTTGTTTTCTTTAGTACATGTGTTTCTCAGTGTCTGTGGTGGTGGTGGGGTTGGTTCCAGGACTCCACTGATACCAAAATCCATAGATGTTCAAGTCCCTTTTATAAAATGGCATAGCATGTATTCATGTTTATAAATTACCTGATTGAGGGTATACATGTAAAATTTTAACTAATGTAAAGAAAGACTGTGTCAGTTGATTTTCTATGACATTTCTTGTTATAGTGCTTAAATATAAAGTGAACCATGGTTATTAGAGCTGTTAACATATATATATATACTATATATATAACTTGTTTCTTTAAAACTGTCTTTCTGTAGGCTCTATTAGATTCTATGACTTTGCTGGCAAAACTCCTTTGCTTCAGATGAAATTCAAGCAAGGAGGTACTGCCCTTGCTTGGGTACCACGGCTGGTAAGCTTATTATAATGAATTTTACTAAAAATCTATTTGTAAATATGATATATCAGTGCTATTTCTTAGAAATATAGATATTTTCTGACTCTGGATTTTAGAGAAGAATAAAAATTCGAACTTAGTTTGTCCATTCAGAATATGATAGAAATCATATCATGACTTTGCTATTGTGTTTTTAATGAAAAGTCTATTCTTATGCCACCTATAGTTTAGAAATAATTTTGTGTTAAAAAGTAATCACCTGATAGAACTTTGTGTATCTGTCTTCTGTTTGACTCTAGTTCATTCTGTGTACTTCTAGAATGTCTACAATGTGCTGGGCCTATTTCTAGATTCTGGGAATATAGCAAAAAGACAAAAATACTTGCCAGCATGAACCTTTACCCTGATAGGAGAATGTTATACCCCCATGGGAGATGGTGGGAAAGACAGACAGTAAACAAAATAAGTAAATTTATGTGATATGTTAAATAATGGGAAAAAATTAGAGCTTTGTTCTAGTTGTTTGTTGCTGTGTAGTAAACCACTCCAAATGTAGTGGCATAAAAAAGCAATCATTTTTTTTGCTCACATACTCCGGTTTGGGAATTCAGACAGGTGACAGCAGAGATGGTTTATCCCTTCTTCATAGTATCATGGCTTCAGTTGGGGAGACTTGAATGGTTGGGGCCTGGAGTCATCTAAAGGCTCCTTTGTCCCAAGTATAGCACCTGGGTTGAAGGCTGGGTTAAGCTGTGATGCTAATAGGAGTGCTTACCTGAAGCCCATGTCACACAGAGAGGTCATTATCACAGCATGGTGGCCTCAGGGCAGTCGAACTTCTTCATGGCATCTCAGGGCTCCAAGATCTTATGTTCCAACAAAGAAGGCAGAAGCTGCTGTCATTTCATGACCTGGCCTTAGAAGTCACATATTATCACTTGTACTATACTCAGTTAGGGGGTGAAACAGCCACAAGCACCACACAGATTCACAGAGAGGAAGTTCAACTATTTTTCTATAGGAGGTATGTTGAAGAATTTGCAACCATGTTTTTATAAAACGTCATGGGAATATTTGGGGAATGGTTTATCCTTAATCCTTTGAGTTGAAATCAAAGAGAAAATGTCCCATGTCCAAAGCAGATGTAGAGATGGCTGGAATGGAGGGGACTTTAATGATGGGATCAAGATCAGGAGAACTTAGGCCAGGAAATAGAAGCAGAACGATGATGAGGCTAGATTAAGTAGAAACCATGGAATATTTAGATTACCAAACCTGGATCATTCTTTATCTAATCTATTTACACTCTTATCTGAAGTCTTTAAAAATACAGCTTATCAAATTGAATCATTTTTTTCAGAGTTTTGTGGAATGTTCATAGGGCGTTTAATTTTTAGCCTTAAATCCAAGTAATGATCTTATAGATATTATGCTAGAATTTCCCCTTCTCCATACCCTCTTACCTTTCTGGAAAGCTGCATATCATTCTTCACAATTCAGCTCAGGTCAAATATCATTGCCTCTGCCCAGCCCTCTACGAACCCATCTTGAAGGGTACTCATTTCCTTCATGATCTAGTACTGTGTTTAAGGACTGTGTATATACCTCTTTTGTAGCACTTAATCACAGTGTACTAAGATGACTTGCTTCATTGTCTGTCTTTCTCACCAGACTGTGTTCTTCATGGCAATACCATATCTTATTCTTCTTTGTGTTAATACTTCCAGTGCCTCTACACTTACTGGTACCTATAGGCACTTAGTAAATTTGAATAAGCCACATTCAATTGGAATTGAATGTAGTTCTTATTCCCAAGACTTTCATAATCGCCTGGCCTTAAGGGATGATCACTCCATTCTAAAGAATACCAGGGCTCTTGCCCTTTTCCTAAATGCCTTGCAAGATGGCAGATTTAGTACATACAGACATTGCTAGATTTATATCTCCAGCCAAGACTTTTCTTCTAAGCTGCAGATTATTTGTCATCTTCATTTTGAGATCTCCAGGGGACCTCAAACTCAACATGTCCAAGATTAAGTTCATAATCTTCTGCTGGTCCCCACTCCCGCTCCCCCCACTTCAAAACAATAAATGCAACAACAGTCCCACACACTCACATACCTGGCTCCCTTCCAGGATCTCCTGCCTCAGTAAATATATGTCATTCTTGACACGTCCCTCTGCCTCATTCCCCATATCTAGTCACCACCAAATAGGACCATTATACCCATCTCTAAAATGTGTCCAGGTCTCTCAGCTCCACTATACCACCTCAGACCACATGACATTAATCAGTCTCCAGGAGTAAAACAGCCATCATTTTAAAAGTCTCCCTACACAAAAATAAACTCAAAATGGATTAAAGATCTAAATGTAAGACCAGAAACTATAAAACTCCTAGAGGAAAACATAGGCAAACACTCTGACATAAATCACAGCAGGATCCTCTATGACCCACCTCCCAGAGTAATGGAAATAAAAACAAAAATAAAAAATGGAACCTAATTAAACTTAAAAGCTTTTGCACAATGAAGGAAACTATAAGCCGGGTGAAAAGACAGCCTTCAGAATGGGAGAAAATAATAGCAAATGAAGCAACTGACAAAGAATTAATCTCAAAAATATATAAGCAGCTCAATACCAGAATCATAAATGATCCAATCAAAAAATGGGCCAAAGAACTAAACAGACATTTCTCCAAAGAAGACATACAGATGGATAACAAACACATGAAAAGATGCTCAACATCACTCATTATCAGAGAAATGCAAATCAAAACCACAGTGAAGTTCTATCTCATACCAGTCAGAATGGCTGCTATCAAAAAGTCTACAAACAATAAAAGCTAGAGAGGGTGTGGAGAAAAGAGAACCCTCTTACACTATTGATGGGAATACAAACTAGTACAGCCACCATGGAGAACAGTGTGGAGATTCCTTAAAAAACTGGAAATAAAACTGCCATACGACCCAGCAATCCCACTGCTGAGCATACAAACCGAGGAAACCAGAATTGAAAGAGACACGTGTACCCCAATGTTCATTGCAGCACTGTTTACAAAAGCTAGGACATGGAAGCAACCTAGATGTCCATCGGCAGATGAATGGATAAGAAAGCTGTGGTACATATACACAATGGAATATTACTCAACTATTAAAAAGAGCACATTTGAATCAGTTCTAATGAGGTGAATGAAATGAGCCTATTATACAAAGTGAAGTAAGTCAGAAAGAAAAACACCAAATACAATGTATTAATGCATATATATGGAATTTAGAAAGATGGTAATGACAAACCCTATATGCAAGACAGCAAGAGACACAGATATAAAGAACAGACTTTTGGACTCTGTGGGAGAAGGCGAGGTTGGGATGGTTTGAGAAAATAGCACTGAAACATGTATATTACCATATGTGAAACAGATGACCAGTCCAAGTTCGATGCATGAAACAGGGTGCTCAAAGCTGGTACACTGGGACAACCCTGACGGATGGGATGGGGAGGGAGGAGGGATGTGAAGGGAGCTAGGAGGGGGGTTCAGGATGGGGGATACATGTACACCCATGACTGATTCATGTCAGTGTATGGCAAAAAGTGCCACAATATTGTAATTAGATTCCAATTAAGATAAAATTAACTTAAAAAATAATCTTCTTAAAGTCTCCTGTGCATCCTGTCTGAGCCACCTCAGATCCATTCTCTACATTGTACCTAGGATGATTTTCCTGAAATAGTAGATCTGATCACGTCACCTCCACACTCTACATCCCCAAACTAAAAACTCTTTGACTCCTTACCTCTCTGGGATGAAAACTATCTTTAATGTGACATATAAGCCATTTTGTGAGCTAATGCTTGTGGAAGCACTGTTCCCTCACTCAGTCTGTTTTAGTCAAACTAACTTTTTCCTGGTACATTATTTCCTGCCACATGACCTTTGCACAAGCTGTATGCTCTCCCAGAGGTATTTTTATGCTTAATTAACTCCTGAGCATCCCTCTGTTCTCAGATTCATCATATCTTCCTTAAGGAAGCTCTCAGTCTAGGTCAGCTTTCTTTGCTATACATTCTCAGAGAATGTTTCTTTCCTTTAACACTTATTTAAGCTTATAATTCCACATTCCTTTGTCTGGTTGATTAATGAAGCTCCAATACTTTGGCCACCTGATGTGAAGAGCTGACTCATTGGGAAAGACCTGATGCTGGGGAAGATTGAAGGCAAAAGGAGAAGGGGATGGCAGAGGATGAAATGGTTAAATGGCATCACCAACTCAATGGACGTGAATTTGAGCAAACTTGAGGAGATAGTGGAGGACAGAGAAGCCTGTTGTGCTACAATCCATGGGGTCACAAAGAGTAGGACACGACTTAGTGACTGAACAATAACAACATGTCCTCCCACTCAACCATTAATTTGTGAAAATGGCTTGAGACTGACTGTCTATGCTTACTTTTGGGTTGCTGCTGACAGGTCTCTGGCACATAGTAGATAGATTGTCCTTGTTTACCTGTCTCATGGTCAGCAGTGATAATGGACTGTCCTAGAAGAGATGGAGTTTACCATAAAGTAGTATAAGGAATTATCAATGGGCCCTTATTTTAGTTCATTATTTAGTTAAATTACTGAAGTCGAAATAAAATACAGAAAATTTTCCAGGAAAGAGTACTGAAGTGGGTTTCCATTTCCTTCTCCAGGGGATCTTCCTGATCCAGGGATCGAACCCTGGTCTCCTGCATTGCAGGCAGATTCTTTACCAAATGAGCTACTAGGGAAGCCCAATTATTTAGTTAAATTACTTAAGTCTAAATAAAATACAGAAATATCTGTAATTCGCTCAGTCATGTCTGATTCTTTGTGATCCCATGGACTATCCTCTGTTCATGGCATTCTCCAGGCAAGAATACTGGAATGGTTGTCATTTCCTTCTCCAGGGGATGTTTCCTGATCCAGGGATTGAACCCAGGTCTCCTTCACTGCAGGCAGATTCTTTACCATCTGAGCTACCAGGGAAGCTCATAATGCAGTGCAGCTCTCTTAATTAACTAATTTTGGAAAACTTGCATTTCTTTTTTGTCCAAGATAAGCTATGGTGGAGCACAGATCACTGCAGGATTTGAAGATGGCGTTGTTCGAATTCTTGAACTTTATGATCCAAAAGGGCTCACGGTTTTTGTGGGACGGAAGAAAGTTTCAGATGCAGATATTCGTTTGAAACAGGTTTTCAAACCTCATACTGCTGCTGTCACTGCTTTAGCTTATGATCGTGATGGAGAAGTTCTAGCCACAGGGGTAAGGAGTAAATTTCCTTTTGTTTCCTATTGCATTTTTATGGTTAACCTTGCCTTATTAGTCTTCCTACTTAATGATGCCTTCTTTCCTTATATTTCTTTCCAAGAACATATATCTATTTCTTGTTTTCTTTGCATTCACATTCTTTCAGTATAGTCTGTGCCTGACTATAAAATATTAAAAATATTCTTACAAATTGAATTGTAATGCTTATTTTAAATGAATAGAAATTCTCAACTGGGAATAAGGCAGCATGTTTTATGTATGGTCAGTGTTTTAAATGAGGAGAATAACCATGTAGATTTGTTATGTATAAATAGGTGAGGATATGCATTGTGGATTTTTTTTGTGAATTAATCTTATACACAGGTATGGTGATCATTTTTTTCTTTAGAAACACAAGAAAACATGTGACAGGTTTGTCAAACATTCTCACAGGGAAAATGAAGCAAATATTTGAAATAAGAATGTTCCCAGAATAATTTGGGATATATGATCATTGTAGGTATAAGTATACAGTGGGTGTAATATAGCTGTTAAATATTTCTTTGTACTCTCTGGAATAGATTTCATAATAATATATATTTGGATATCTCTCTTTCAATTAGAGTAAAGATAAAACTGTCTTCTTTTTCGAAGTGGAAAGGGACTATAAGCCTATTGGTTATATTACTACTCCTGGACCTATTTGCCAGTTAACATGGTCTTCAAGCTCTCATGTAAGTAGTTATTTGTCTTCACATTTAAATCTCAATTACTACATAGTGAAGTGATCTGTTAGAAAATAGCGGGTGGAATTACTAGCTCCGCTCTTGGGTCCTACAGCGAGGGGCCAAGGAAGCTGTTCAGCTTGACTAGTGGAACATCACTCAGGAGCTCCAAGCCACCACCCTCCATACTCCCACTACCTCTTCTCTCTTCCATAATGTAATCAGTCTATTATATCAGACTTTGCTTCAACACCTGCCTTGCCTCTTGAGAACCTGTATGCAGGTCAGGAAGCAACAGTTAGAACTGGGCATGGAACAACAGACTGGTTCCAAATAGGAAAAGGAGTATGTCAAGGCTGTATATTGTCACCCTGCTTATTTAACTTATATGCAGAGTACATTGTGGGAAACGCTGGGCTGGAAGAAGCACAAGCTGGAATCAAGATTGCCGGGAGAAATATCAATAACCTCAGATATGCAGATGACACCATCCTTATGGCAGAAAGTGAAGAGGAACTAAAAAGCCTCTTGATGAAAGTGAAAGAGGAGAGTGAAAAAGTTGGCTTAAAGCTTAACATTTAGAAAACTAAGATCATGGCATCTGGTCCCATCATTTCATGGGAAATAGATAGGGAGACAGTGGAAACAGTGTCATACTTCATTTTTTTGGGCTCCAAAATCACTGCAGATGGTGATTGCAGCCATGAAATTAACAGATACTTACTCCTTGGAAGGAAAGTTATGACCAACCTAGAAAGCATATTAAAAAGCAGAGACATTACTTTGTCAACAAAGGTCCGTCTGGTCAAGGCTATGGTTTTTCCAGTAGTCATGTATGGATGTGAGAGTTGGACTGTGAAGAAAGCTGAGCACTGAAAATGGTTGCTTAACTGCGGTGCTGGAGAAGACTCTTGAGAGTCCCTTGGAGTGCAAGGAGATCCAACCAGTCCATCCTAAAGGAGATCAGTCCTGGGTGTTCATTGGAAGGACTGATGCTGATGCTGAAGCTGAAACTCCAATACTTTGGCCACCTCACGCGAAGAGTTGACTCATTGGAAAAGACCCTTATGGTGGGAGTGGTTGGGGGCAGGAGGAGAAGGGGACGACAGAGGATGAGATGGCTGGATGGCATCACCGAGTTGATGGGCATGAGTTTGAGTAAACTTTGGGAGCTGGTGATGGACAGGGAGGCCTGGTGTGCTGCGATTCATGGGGTTGCAAAGAGTCAGACATGACTGAGCAGCTGAACTGAACTTGCTTCAACAACAAGACTTTATCATGAAACACAACACATCAGAATGTGTTGACTTGGGTCTGGCAGCCCTTCTGACATTAAGTTCATTTCTAAGGTCTGAATGTATTTGTCCTCATCTTTATCTCTTTCCTGCTCCTCTGTCTGAATTTCACCTCCATATTCTTTTCTAACTTCCATTGCCTGTTTCCTAACAACAATGGTGATTCAGCATTGACTACTAATCTTGCTAAATGCCTCTAATTTCCCTAATTTTGAGCATAGCATAATTTAATAACCTGAATATTGATTGTCTAAGCCAGGTACTGTACTAGGGTCCTAGCAAAATAATAATACTGATGAACTACATAGATGTACTATCAGAATTTTGGGGATAGCATCTGTAATCTATTTTAAGAAGTTATATTGTTCTGTGATAGAATTATTTAAGGTTTCACAAGGGAATGGGTGACTAAAATATCAGTATCAGTGGTATAGATAGTATGTACTATGAATATGGGGCTTTTCTGGTGGCTCAACAGTAAAGAATCTGCCTTCAATGCAGGAGCCCCAGGGAGACACAGATTCAATTCCTGGGTCAGAAAGATCCCCTGGAGAAGGGTATGGCAACCCACTCCAGTAATCTTGCTTGGAGAATCCCATGGATAGAGGAGCCTGGCAGGCTACCCTGGCATGGGGTTGCAGAGTCGGACACGACTGGAGCGACTTAACAGGCACATACACACTATGAATATAGAGCAGGGGACTATCAAGAAAGGGGGAAGTTAACATGTTATGTTATATTATTCTACCTTAATCTTAAGGAATTGGCAGAATGTGAGTCAGAGGGGAGGTGAGTGCAAGTGGTATAGGTGAAGGGAATGAGAGCTGCTGCTCTTTGTTAAAGCATGAGTAGTTATATCACAACATATTTGTGCATCATTCAATCATTTCTCTCGATATTAAAGTCACACACAAAAAAAGCAGTGCAACATTTTTCAGGAGTTAGGAATGATGGGTGGGAAAGGGGTGGATTTGACTCTATAAAGGCGCAGCTTGAAGGAGATCTTTTTGGTGGTGGAGTAGTTTGTGTTTTGCTTGCTGTGGATGGTTACTTGAATCTGCACATGTGATAAAATGACATGGAACTATACACACATTCTATATTAATGTTGATTTCCTGTTTTTGATATTGGTGCATAAGAGGTAACCAGTGGGAGAAACTGGGCAAAGGGAACATGATACCTCTTTGTACTATCTTAGTAACTTCCTATGAATTAATATTTCAAAATAAGAAATATTTAAAGAAGTAAGCAGAAAAGACCCCTCTCTCCCTCCACCAGGATGAGATGGTTGGGTGGCATCACTGACTCAATGGACATGAGTTTGGGTAAACTCCGGGAGTTGGTGATGGACAGGTAGGCCTGGCATGCTGTGGTTCATGGGACACAGCATGAGTTGGACACGACTGAGCAACCAAACTGAACTGAACTGAACTCCCTCCACCAAAACAGATAAAAAGACATTTCAGGCAGTGATACCAGTTAGCACTTGTATTTCTAACATTGTTTGGGAGTTACTAACGTAAAAGTAAATTACTCTCATTTCACAATATATACATGTATCAAATCATCATGTTGTACATCTTTTTTTTTTTTAGTCTTTTTTTTCCATTTATTTTTATTAGTTGGAGGCTAATTACTTTACAATATTGTAGTGGGTTTTGTCATACATTGACATGAATCAGCCATGGAGTTACATGTATTCTTAAACTTATACAATGTTATATCAATTATATTACAATGAAAGTGAAAGAAAAAATAAATTACCATTTGTAACTGCACACTTCAGTTGTCCAAATAGCAGTAGCTGTTAGCCCTGCCAGCTCAATGGTCAGTCCTGTAACCTTCCTGAATGCATTAAGCTTCTGTCCATTATTTTCTTTTCGAGTAAGAGTACATCACTCAAGTAACTATTCTACCTACAGTTGTCACTACTGTGATCACTTAGGCAGTAGTTACAAGGGAGAAGTTATAAAGGAGCCAGATGAGAGGCAGGTAGATCTATTAGGCAACTGTGTTCCAGAGAAGATGACACCAAGGTGTGGATAAAAGCTAGGAAGAACTGACAGAACTTGATGATCTTTTGAATTTCTGGGGATAATTTTGAGGTTTATAAATGAAATTCATTGGAGTTTCTCTAAATGTTATTTTTTTTCTCTCTTCTGCATTTTCTGAGAGCACCATTTTTCCTATTTCCTAAGCCAGGAAATCTTTGAGCCACCTCTTCCTGACCTCTGACCACCCTGCTTCACCACCCTTCTCCACCCTGCCGTTGGTGAAGATGCATCTTAAACATCTGTTAAATCTGTCTCTTCTGTGTCCTTTTTGCTCCTCTCTGTTTCATCCATTAAGCTTTGAACTTGATCTTCTATGCCTAAAATGACCTCCCTTTTATCATCCTGACACACATCAACTCACTATTTTTTAACACACACACATAATTTACTAATGGGGGCTTTTCTGATGGCTCAGATGGTAAAGAATCTACCTGAAATGCAGGAGGACTGGATTTGATCCCTGGGTCATCAAGATCCCTTGGAGAAGGGAATGGCTACCCACTCCAGTATTCTTTTTTTTTTTTTTCCCACCCCAGTATTCTTGCCTGGAGAATTCCATGAACAGAGGAACCTGATGGGATACAATCCATGGGGTCTTAAAGAGTCAAACATGACTGAGTGACTAAGGCTAACTAGTTTACTAATATTCTAATAAAGATTTTTATATGTACATACGTAACAGTGATAATACCCCCGTTTTGTAATGTCCTTACCAAATTTGGAATTGAGGTATTACTGGCCTTATTTTTGAAAAAAAGTCTTTTCTATTCTCTTGACCTGAATTGTGTGTAGGAGGAATTTTAATAATTTCTTCAACAGATATAGAACTATAAACTGCTAAAAGAAGATAACTACCACCCCACAATTTTATACCCAGTGTTGCTGCTGCTAAGTCGCTTCAGTCGTGTCTGACTCTGTGTGACCCTATAGACGGCAGCCCACCAGGCTCCGCCGTCCCTGGGATTCTCCAGGCAAGAACTCTGGAGTGGGTTGCCATTTCCTTCTCCAAGGCATGAAAGTGAAAAGTGTAAGTGAAGCTGCTCAGTTGAGTCCGACTCTTCATGACCCCATGGACTGCAGCCTACCAGGCTCCTCCGTCCATGGGATTTTTCCAGGCAAGAGTACTGGAGTGGGTTGCCATTGCCTTCTTCGATACCCAGTGTTAGTATCATTCAAAAATGAAACTAAGTAAACAATAACGTGACTTTTTGGATGAAATGAGCAACTCCTGTTCCCATGCAGCTTTGAAAGTGAAGTCACTCAGTCGTGTCTGACTCTTTGTGACCCCATGGACTGTAGCCTACCAAGCGTCTCTGTCCATGGGATTTTCCAGGCAAGAATACTGGGGTGGGTTGCCATTTCCTTCTCCAGGGGATCTTCCTGACCCAGGGATCGAACCCAGGTCTCCCGCATTGTAGGCAGACGCTTTACCCTTTGAGCCACCGGGGAAGCCCCTAGGGTTATATAAATGTTTTAAAGGCAAATGCCCAGCAGAATGTCAGGCTCACATTTCTGCATTTCCTTTTTCTCTGATATCCTGTGCCCTTAAGTTCTAACTTTCTTGTTGGTTGCTTTGAATTTCAACTTGTGTCTGTTTATGTCTGTTGTTTTTTTTCAGTCATTTAATCATGCCTGACTCTTTGTGACCCCATGGACTGC